CAGGTTCCCTACCGCCCCCAGGCGCCGAAGGTATCGACGCCCACGTCGAGCCAAAAGGGCAGAGCGGCTTATACGTACCTGCTTTCGTAGACTTGTTGTGGCGCTGATACCAAGGCTCTCCTTCTGCATGAGTGAACCTGGCATTTTACAGGGGGCTCGGGGCCTTGCTAGGCTTTTAGGATGGAAAAAGGAAACCATGCCCCATGGGACCGCATGTCCGCGGTGCTGGTGGCGCACCCCTGACGCAGGACTCCTAGAGCGACTCTTGTGTGTAAGGGCTGATGGAACCTCCGAGTCCCAACCCTTCCCTCATTCGAACTTTCACATACGGAACCAACATCTACAGCAGACTCGTGTACCCCCCGGTCCCAATTCCGGGGAGGAGGCCCAACCAGTGCACGCCAGCGCTCCTGATCATTCTGCACGGAGCTCGGACTGTCCGTTGCACAATCTGTGGCGCCTCCTTGAGCCGAGGGTTGGACACCCCCCGCAGTGTCCTGAATCCGGTTGTGCAGTGCCCTGTAGGCTTCTGGCGAAGTCACCTCGTGATGCACATCCGGAGAAGCTAGGGACTTACATAAATGGTGCCGCTTCACGAAGCCGCCACCCCCACAACATCAATGCACACTCTGGGCGTCCCGGCCCAGGTTGCCTCTTGGGGATCTGCCTCGCTGCATGTCTCCAGCCGAATCAAGCCGCGCCCGCGGCCCCAGTCAAACGAGCATATAACCGGGCTCTTCGCAGAGCTCAGGCTAGTCCTTTCCAGGGTACCATGTACAAAGGGCGATGGCATCAGCTGCAACAGCCGCTGAGGCAAAGTGCCACCCCGTCTCGCACCAGTGATTCGCGGCCTCACCTGCAAGCTCAACAGTCGGGCACCCATGGCTCAGCATACCCTCGAATCAGAGTGGCGACGTATAATGCTGGAGGCCTGAGTACGCCTGCGTACCACGAGCTCCTCCAGTGGCTCCGGAGGATGCCAGACGATATCAGGCCGGCAATCGTACACATCCAGGAATCGCACTGGCCATCCGACAGTGAATACTCTACGCCAGGCTGGCACATCATTGCCTCCTCTACCCCTAGCCCTGCTGCTGGAGGCGTCCTTACGATGGTCTCCGATGAGCTCTGCAACACGACCCAGCTCACCCATACGGCCCCGATACCGGGGAGGGTGCTCCATACCCGCATTTCACTCTCGAGTTGTACCATTGACAGTGTCAATGTTTACCAAAAGATTTTTGCGGCAGGTGCTGGTCGGAAGGAACTTCATCAGGATCTCGCACCGCGCGAGCAACGACTTCAGGTCTGGTCTACTTTAGGAGCAATCCTTGGGGCCACGCCAATGCGCAACCTTCTCTTTCTGGCAGGGGATTTCAATACGGCGCCGATTCGTTCGGCCGCACACGTAGGCTCCCGAGTCTCTCGATTCTCGTCTCCTTCGGTTGCTGATCGTCCCCAGCTAGAGGCCCTTATTGTGGATCATAATCTGGTCATGCTCAACAGCTGGACGCGCCATGCGGTCGCCAGCTTTGTGAGCCCCACAGGCAATTCCCTGATTGACCACATCTATGTTCGCCGTTTTCAGGCCGACCAGTTGGCGCGCCAAGCTGCGCCATTAGCCTGGCCCCTGGCCTCGTGGAAGCAAGGCAGTGTGCACAGGCCGGTCGGGGCTCACATCTCTCTGCCCCCGTTTCGCGCACTTCAACGGCACAGATCGAGCACCCCTCGGATCGACGTCCGGGCCCTCGCCCAGGCCTGTAAATCCCCACAAGACGAGCGCATCATTCAGCTCCGCGCGTCGATGCAGGGGTGGGTTCAGTGCCACCCTGCAGCCTCCATTGAGGACCTCAATCTCCACATGAGAGAGCAGGTACACGGGTTGTTCGCTGCTCGGAAGCAGAACGGCATTCTTGTTCCCTGGCAACGTGAGGCGGTGAGCTTGAGTGTCAAGGGCATGTGGGCCGCATATGCCCGGTGGAGACGGGGCACTGGCTCCTCTGTCGGGGCACTGTTTCGCACATGGCAGGCGCACGCGCAATTCCGTAAGGCTCATCGTGAGTTCCGGATGCGCAGTCGACAGGCTCGGAAGGCCTGGTTCCTTGACCACGTGGTGGCCATGGAGTCTGCTGCCTACTCTGGTGATGTCCGGGCCCTGTTTCAGCTTTCATCCTTCCTTGCGCCGAAGCAACCGCGACGCAAATTACAGCTTCGTGGACCCCAGGGTGAATTGTGGACCAACTCCCAACAAGTTCGGGCCTTGACGGACTTTTACCTGGATGTGTATGCGCCTGAGGATGAACCCCCTCTCCAGGCTGACGTGCATCTCACGCACATTTTTCGGGCACCGGACATGAGCCAGCAAGAATGGGAAGCCCGTCTCGCTTTGCTCCCGCCCAACAAGGCGGCTCCCAAACACTTGGCACCATCCGCTGCCTTCGTTGCTTGCTCGGATATCCTCTCGGGATGGCTTTGTGATCACGCGAGCGCTCTCCAGGAATATCCACAAATTTGGGTGGATTCCTGGCTGTCCTTGTTACCCAAGGTTCGTAATCCCACACTTCCGAAACAGCTGCGACCTATAGGGCTCACGGAAGCATCAGGCCGGGCTCTAGCGGGGCACCTTCAAGATTCTTTACGGCCTTATGTGTGCGACTACATTGGCACACTTCCGCAAATGGCGTACCTGCCAGGGCGCACAACGGGAGACGCCATACGACGAGTCCTCAAACACTGTTCGGATGTCTTCCAGTCACAGCAACGTCAGAAATACGACATTCAAGCAAGGAAACGCCTGGGCTCATCCTTTTCTGCTATGTCTCGCCCGCCCCAGGCGGGGGGAATACAGCTGTCACTTGACTTGACGCAAGCGTTTGACAGATTAGGTTGGGTTTTAATTTACGACGCCATGCTTGATGCTCAGATTCCTCTGGAACTCCGTGGACAAGTACTTGACTTTTATCGCCGGATTGGGTACAGGTTGCAACAAGGTGACGCTTGTGCTGTGATATCCGCGCGTAGAGGAGTCAAACAGGGCTGTAGAGTGGCTCCACTGCTCTGGAGTCTATGTACCGGATTACTGTTCCGGAGGCTGGCGGCTCGCACGAGTACAGATTGGTTGAGGCAGGTACTCAATGCATTCGCAGACGATCTCCATGTGGGGCAGATCGTTCACACGAGCGCCCAATTTGAACAGGCCATGCTTCGCATTGGGCACCTGCTGGACGTCCTTACTGAAGCTCGACTCCAGGTGAACTCGGCCAAATCCGCAGCCCTGATCTCCATTCCGCAAAGCTTTGCCAGGCTCTGGAAGCGTCGATGCTACGTCCAGGACAAGGAGGGTTTGCCTGAGGATACGTACCCCGGGTGAACGGGTCTTCACGATCCCGATTGTGGATAAACACCCCTACCTGGGAGTTGTTATTGCATACGGAGGCGCGGCCAAACTCACAGTCCAGCACCGAACTCAGCTCGCCTGGGCAGCCTGGACCCGTTTGCGTCCCCTCCTCACCGGAGCACAGGCACCGGCTCTTCAACTTCGCCTCCGTCTGTGGAGAGCCTGCATCCCCCCGATCCTCCTGTACGGCTTGGATTGCATGCCGCTCTCGGGCAAGCTCCTTCATGAGGTGCAACGCCTGCTCACGAGACAGCTCCGTGCAGTAGCGCGCTCCCAGGCACACATCACGCACGAGACCACGGAAGCGCTTCATGCCAGACTCCGAGTGCCCTTTGTTGCCGACATCCTTTCTCGAGCGGTGGGCAAAGTCTTGACTCGAGCTTCCACAGAACCTTCCAAGGATACTCCGGGGTACTCCCCCTCAACGCTGATTAGCGAGGCATGGCTTAGGGAGACTCTCGACTCCCTCCACTGTGGTTCTGTGCCGGCTTCCGGGCCCTCATCTCAGCCCGCCGACTCGTTCACCCCCGGTATTCCACTGGACGGAGGTGATTTTCACCAATGTCGCGAATGTGGATATCTGGCCACTTCGTTCAGGCTATTGCGCGTTCATCTCTCAGTGGTGCATGGACACAAGGCCAGTCACCGCTTTGATGCCAATCGGTTCTGTCGGTCCACCCATTCCACACAGGGCATGCCGACCTGTAGGCTATGCGGCAGGGCATTTCCCCGGTGGACTTCCCTCCGGACGCATATTAATGCAGGACAATGCCCAGGGCTAGATGTTGATCTTGAGGGATCCTCCACTGGACCCAAGCCATCAGGACCCGCGGACAGCCGGTGCATCCCGGTCGCGACATCCGTGCCTCTTCCCGGAGGGGAGGCATCCACTCCGTCCGACGACCGAGCAGGCGCGGCGCTTGCTGACGTGCCGGCCTCGCGCACACACCCGTCCCATTCTCCTCCGACACCGTGCGCTGGTCACAGGGCCCAGGCCGCCCCAGCTCCGCTCCAACATGATCCCATACCCGTCACCGCAAACACGCCAGATGGCCAGGATGCCCTCCGCCCTTCTGCCTCTACCGCTCTGGACCAGGCTCTTCCACTGGTGGATTCCGAACGCGAGGAGCCCCCGCTACCTCCTCCTATGCCGTTGAATGTACCTCGTGGTCTCGACTCGGAGGCACCGCTCATTACGGATATGGAGTTCTGTTCGCGACTTAGACAGGAGGGCTGGCAAGCTCTGTTACATGATGGGAATACTCGAAGGAGGATTCGACATCACTGCCCACTATGTCACCAGTGGGCTGCTACGCCCTCAGGTCTCAAGGTTCATCTGCAGTCGCATGATGAGTGGGTTCAGCTGTACTCGCGCACTCTTATCAGGCTCGAGTTTTGCGCAAAGCCATGACCAAACCATGTTTATACTGTAAGGAAACCACGTTTGACCTACAGCAACATTGGCGTCGATGCTATGTCATACTCATCCTGAGCTTTCTGTCTGTGCACTTGCACCGCTTAGACTCCGAAGCCTCTACCGGTGCTGCCCCGGTCTCCTCTGCCTCAGCTGCTCAGTCGCCTTCTCTCTCTGTTCCTCATGACCATGGACACCAACGTGCAGGATCCCAAGGAACTTCAGGTGTTCGCGGCGTTTCTGACCAACGAGAATGGCCAGACACCAGCACCGGCTCCTCCATCTGGAGAGCCGGGGGCCCAGCCCAAGAGGCGCAGGGAGAGCGAAAATCCACCGGAGGGCACCAGTCAGGGATCAGGCTCGGCTGCTTCCGCCCCGGGGATCTACCTGTCAATGCCTCAAGGATCCGGCAACCACCCGAAGGGCAAGGGCAAAAACAAGGGCAAGGGCAAAGGCGGCAAAGGAAAGGGGCAGCCTCCGCCCCGCCACCAGCAGGGCGACTGGAGCAGTTCTTCGTCCGAGTGGAGCCAGGGATGGAACCAGGGATGGGGCTCGAACAGCAACCGCTATCAGGGCGACCTAGTGACGCAGATCTCCAAGCTCCTCCTGCGACACGAGCTCCAGCTGCAGAATCTCCAGGGGGACACCAAGCTCCATCTCTATCTGAGAACGGGTGCCCAGTCCTTCCTGCCCTCCCTCTTCGCCATTGCCCGCGAATGGGGCAAGTTGTATCGGGAGGAGCCTGCCAAACTGGGCATGTCGTTGCGGGAAACTCTTCTTGTGGCCCTTCTGAGAGAGATGGCCACCCGGGCCAAGTTGGCAATGAACCGCGCCGACTCGAAACAGGCCGCTCTGGATCTCAAGTGGATCAACTCGAACAACCAGTGGAGCTACATGCAATGGAACCCACACACGGCCCAGCTCGATCTTCTGGAGGAGCCGGCGCCCAGGGATCACTCGGAGATCCTACAGGACATCGAACGGATGATCGAGTTGGTGGATGGCGACACGGTGAAACGGTTTGCATCAGCCAAGACGCTGGTGGCGGAGCCTCAGTCGGAATGGGTGGAGTTCATCCTGGAGGTGGGCCTTCGAGAGAAGGGCCACCAACTATGGGATCTCATCCTGAGATTCAACCAATGCTGTGTTCTTCATCCTCTTGGAGCCCGCATCCGCAGGGACCGTCCAGGCCTCTCAGGCCTTGCGGAGACCATCCGCAACATGTCTCATTAATCACCCGCCTTCTAGGGGCCCGTCCGACTCGTCCGCTCAGTTCTGATGGTGCTTCCTCAGACGGCGCGAGGCTCAGGGCTGCTGTTGTCTCTCCACCAGCACCAAACTCTTCTCCTGCCCTGCCCTTCCGATGCTCACGCCTCCTTCAGGTCAGCTTGCATAACGTTGATGCCACAGCGTGCTATATGAATGCCTCGCTCCTTGCCTTACTGTGGTCTACTCTTCATACCAGTGTGCCCCAACTGGGAGGTCTTGAGCCAATACTTTCATTTCTTGAGGCGCGTCCTGAGCTGCTTTTGTTACGCTGCATGGCCTGGACCATGCTTCTGGGGTCGTGGTCCCAGCCACGACGCCAGCATGACATGCATGAGTTCCTCGTCCACCTCATGCCGAGGTTACGGCTTCCTGCCATTCAGGGGTACTGGCAACAGCGCAGGCTGGAGGAAGATGTTGGAGCTGTCGTGTGTGATACCTCCACCATGGTCATACCCATCACGCTGGACCTCCCTGAGGGAACCAGGGGACTACAGCACTGCATACAGGCTTGGCACTCCAGTCACTACCGATCGGCGATTACTGGTGACCCTCCGGAACTTATCTGCTTGCACCTCTCCCGCTTTAGGCAGACCGATGGGGGTGTCATCGTCAAGGACGTGCAGGCCTTACCAGACATTCGAGAGGTCATCCGTCTACCCGTCTTTCGCTCGCCTGCGGACATAAGCGTGCGATGGTGCCCATACCAGGTCTGTGCTGCGTCGCTGCACTTCGGCCCGACCGTTGAGCGGGGGCACTACCGAGCACTGCTTCGAAGCAAGGAGAAAATCTGGATCACTGAAGACAATCGCGGTGCTCAACTTCTCTCTTGCACTGAGCTCACTTCGCTCACGCCGCACATCTATCTGCTCTGGTGCGTGCCTGACTCAGGCCTGCCGATGGCCGCTGGAAATCGGACTACGCTGTGCAATTGATGTTCCTGCTTGCTCGCTGTCGCTAGCGACCGAGCATGCTTGTAGGGGGGGGGCACAAAAAAGTGCGCGCTCACTGAAGCGCCGGGGCCATCTGAGCCTTGCCCTGTAGCTAGGCGAGTACGGACATCTCGCTGCGTCTGGAAGGATACATGGATGTCTGTAATTATGTCTTTTTATTCCCGGAACTCGATTCCGCAATCGAATCATAATCAATGCAGTCATATATCCATCGCTGTATTCCCCAATACACTTATGTGGGAAGACGAATATAAAACATCATATGAAATTGGAGGCAAAGCGTCAAGATTTTCGCACATGCGATCTGGGATTCGAGCATTCGTGAAACACATCCTGCATGACACAAGCAACATCGCATAAACCGCCCCATTGGACAGTGACCATTGTCACGAAGCGAGGACCATATCCCCGGGTTGGGCGGGCGGGTGTAAAATTTGCCCATTCAAGGAGGCGCTCCCTCCCACCCACCCTTGAACAAGAATTGCAAGTCACAACATTCGTTATGCCAAGAGCATAAGAGACATCATGCAAAGGAACTTGCAAAAGAATGGTTCAAAACAAGTGATTGAAAAACGGGATTGCGAAATCAAATTTTTGGCCAATGCCAAAAAACATCGTCCGGGAATAAAATATTAAGAACTTCGCTCCGCTCCGTTCTAAATCTGCTTATTCCCGGAACTCGATTCCGCAATCGAATCATAATCAATGTAGTCATATATCCATCGCTGTATTCCCCAATACACTTATGTGGGAAGACGAATATTCAACAGCATATGAAATTGGAGGCAAAGCGTCAAGATTTTCGCACATACGATCTGGGATTCGAGCATTCGTGAAATATATCCTGCATGACACAAGCAACATCGCATAAACCGCCCCATTGGGCAGTGACCATTGTCACGAAGCGAGGACCATATCCCCAAGTCAAGACGAGCGCAGTAATTCGCCCGTGGCAAAACAAGCAAGATGGTCCCGGATCGCATGTTCGCACATCGGAAAGATCCAGCAGCCCCTCGACGGGGGATCAGCGGGATTGGACTGAGAAGGCACACGAGCATACCACCCAATGCAAGGCCTGGCATCGGCCTTTTCAAGATGTATAAGCAGAGCCCTCCACAGCTCGTCCCTAGATGTGCAATTGATGGTAGCGGCGAGCACTCCCACATGCTCGATGAAATAAAGCACCCTTCGATCATCGAGGAGTCGGCCCCAGACGAATCTCGCGAGCACCAAAGCATACAACTCAACAAGCCCTATCAGGTGCTTCTTGCCGCTCTCGGCCCATAGGTCGACCAGGGAGTCACTCAGCGTGACCCCGAAATATCGGACCTTTACAGCCCCATTCCAAGAAGCATAAAGTACTCCCCCAACGGTGCAGAGCGATCGAGCAGCACCAGGCTCACATGCGCCATCAGTGTAAACAACAAGCGAAGGCCCAGAGCTACCAACCTGTATGCGCCTGGGCTCGCCAGCATCCATGCGCATCTGCAAGACAGCAAAGGCTTCGCGATCAGTAGGAGAAAGCCGATGAACGCCCGAGCCTCGCGAGAGCTTCCTAAGCGTGCTCAAAGCCAGTTTGCCCCTGCGGCCCATGATTTGGGAATCGGCATATTGAATCCTTCCAAACAAGCTGTCGACTTCTCTGACCACCACCTGGCCATCCGATAGGACTTTAGCGACCGACTCGGAGATTTCGCGAGCCCTGTCAGGCTTGTTGGCAACAGTGACGCAAGAAAAGTCCTTCGCCCTAAGATCCAAGCGAACCCCCAAGAGATCGGCCACCGAAGAAAAAGGCAACTCCTTGTCCTCTGAGCAGATCACGCCCAGGAGGCACATGAGCTTGCGGATCGTCTTCTCGGTGTTGGCCGAAAGCATACTCACATCGAGCACTGGGTAGTCGTCATAATAGTTACAGGCCAGGCACTCCAGCTCAATAAGGATGCGGTGAATCAAGCGGGCAACGCGATTGAACTGCCCCACGCTCGCGAGCGAGCCGAAGGGTAGGGTATGTGAAATGAAACCGACGGCTTGCCCGTCGGAGGGCCGCCTGAGGCTGACCACACACCTCTTGCTGTCACATGGCCTTATAGCATACTGTTTGTAAGCAGACTTCAAATCCACGCACTTCAAGACTGGGCGCGCGGACTCAGGCCGCGTGCGCCACACAGTATGCAAAGATCCGCTGATCACTTCACCAGAAGAAAGACGAAGGTTGACAGAACCTCGATCAACGATGGATTGCATGAGCCTCGATGTTATCCAAAGAAATTCGTCCATCGCACGCATGTCAATCTTTTCTGCCACTTCCCAGGACGAGTTGACACTGTTCTCGGACAAATCGTCAATGCACCTCAGCTTCCCTCGTTGGAAAATCGCGAACCTCCGTACAGGTATCCAGTGCGGACCCAAAATCTCAATGAGCTCATGGTAGCTATATGGGCCGCTCAGCCAGGACTTCTGATCCCTCTCAGCAAGAGTTTGGCTCCAAAGCTCGGCATCGGAATCCTCAGATTTTGAAGATGAGATTTTGGCCCACAGGGCCGGTCGCAAGAACTTCGCTCTTTGATCAAGCTCTTCCTCAGTGAACTCCGAAGGCTTAAAGGATGGCGTGAAAATCCCTATGCCGAACCCTTCCTTAAGGTCCTTAAAAAGATCCTCGTCTGGCCAGGCAAGGGATTTGGCAATACGATCCAGCAACAGCAACTTCTTGCCAGAAAGGACCGCACCAACTCTAGGATCAAGCGAAGCATGAAGAGCTCTCTCAGGCTCGGCCAGTTCATCGGCCCACGCAGACCACTTGGTAAGTAGGTCAAGCCGGCGTCGCATGACGGGCAAGGGACCGTCGATAAGCAGCCGCCCCAAATTCCTGATGAGACCATCAGGCACGTGTGCAAAAGCGTCGAACGGATGCTCGAGGCACAAGCTGGCAGCAACGAACTCATCAGGAGTCCGAAACACGCCAAACGTGGCGGTGGCAGGGGTACTCGACGAAGGGGAGAGGGACTTAGGCTTAAGAGAACCACCCCCAAGAAAAGCGAGCCTAAGGAGCCTAACACCCTTGGGAACGGACTGCAAAGCGGTTTGCAGGCACTTTTTGTCATCCAGCTGCAGCTGGGAGCAATCAGCGACGTGCACGCTGACCATGTACTTGAACTCGGGCATAATCGGCTGCATTTTGGTGAGCTTAGCTTGTTTGTGCACGGCAGGATTAGCATCTGGCAACCCCGATTGGGGGGAAACAAGTAAGTCCTCACCAGCCGCCTGCAAGCGCAGATTTTCGGCAAGGTTCTCCGCATACACCTTGCCGAGAACAAAGGCCTTGTCGGGGCAGGAGCAAGAGCGGTCAGAACAATGGAGGCCACGCGAACAGACCTGCAACCGAGGCCGGGTGAGCATCCAGGCCCAACGCACGAAGGCAAAGAGTCATTGAACGGCGATCGTTGCCAAGCCGAGTTATCGGCTGGGCCGCAAACAGTGAGTCCAATCTGTAGCTGCAGCACGTGAGCAACAAAAGATGTCACATGATCAAGCTCTACAGAATTAAGGGTCCGATCAAGACACATGTGGACATGATAGACCCGGTGAGCCATAACAAGGCGCCGCAAGTATTGCCAAGTGGATTGTCGTTCGGGCCTGAGCTGCAACACCTTATCTTGACAGGGCCCGCAGACTGGGACCCATAACAGAAAGTTTTGAACCCAATCTCGGCATACGCATGGCCCACGGCACCTCGTCCGTAGAAGAGGTCGAGGACAACAAGTCGGGAAGGCTTCAGCACTTTCAGGGGCTCATGAGTGACAGAGCTCCTGATGTCAGGCAGAGGGCCCACTGGAGACGCGGGCATCGCAGCATCAGCGCTGGGAAGGGCGAAACCACAGGACTGGAGCTGAGACAACACCTCAGAGTCGGAATCGCAAACGCCCTTGGTGCTGAAAGCTATGAGCATAACCCGACGACCCTGAAAAGGCGCCACAGCGTGGCAGCCGTCACGAGCATTGAAGGCCCAGGAACCCCGACTGAAGTCGAGGTCGCAATCACCGGCTCGAAGTGAGCCACCTGAAAAGTGCGTCAAAGGTATCAAGAGATTCAAATTCGGGCCATTGTTGGGATCAGTGTGAGGTTGGCTTTCAACCGAGTCAGAGATCAACAGACTTGAAAATTTGTGCGTCGGAAGGACATGCAGGACACAAGCGCACAAGTATCGGCAGATATTGGGATAAATTCGGGTGAAATGCCGCAAACCTTTGATAGGACCGTGAGAATACGACCCCACCGCGAAGATTGAGCCTTTGGCTTGAGAAAGTCGTGTGATATCAGCGAGAAAGCACACTAGCTGCATCGAACAAGTGTTTGCGGTGCAAATCAGAGGCAAGGGCTTCAGGGCCTCCAAGTCGAGGCACCTTGCCCGGCGACTCACGGTCGCTGTCATTGGATTTCCTTTCACGCGCTCCAACAGAAGGTTCACCGCCCACGGGCGAACCGGCATCATGCATTCTCTCATTGAGTGAAGCACAAGCAGCAACCAATGTTGCAGCAGGCCCCACAGGGCAAGGCATTGCAGGGTCCAGCTCATTAGCCGAACTCAGGGATTGAGACTCCAATGAGTCGAGCTGGGGACATTCCCAGCCACCTGCAGTCGCATCGACCACACTTGATAGTCATTCCTTCTTGGGGCAGTTAGCAGCAGTATGGCCGCTCTGACGACATCGGGGCAATTATTACACTGCAATACTGGAGCAGTTGTAGTAATTGCAATTTCTGTTTCTTTGCAACACTGGAACGGTCGTGGCAATTGCAATTCCCCAGTCTTTGCAACACTGGAGCGGTCGTAGTGACTGCAGTTTCTTACTGCTTGCAATACTGGAGCGGTCGTAGTCATCGCAGTTCCTCTCTCTCTCTGCAACACATGTTCCAACTTTCACTTTGGCGGGCGGGTTTCTAACCATGTTCCAACTTTAGCCTCCGAGATCAAAGTTGGAACCTGTGGCTTGGAGCCAATTTGCTTCTGTGGACACGTTCCAACTTTCCGGCTTCCACCATATTTGGAGGGCAGCGGCAAAGGACCCGAACAACACAAAACAGGCTGCGCGGGGGGGCGTTTTGGGCTCCGGGCTGTTTGGCCGGACCGGACTCTGGACAGCGCTCGTATGAAGCCCGCACAGCTCGGGACAGTCCAGACACTCGGACACCAGACAGGCCCGGACACTCCGGGCTGAACGGGTGTTCGTCCGGCTGTTCGGACTGTCTCAGCGTCGGGCTGTCCGGGTTTGGGTCGTCCAATTTTAGGGCTTTTTGGGCTCCTGGCTGCGTTGCCGGACTCTGATCTGTTTCGGGCTGCGCTGTGCGAGTGGGCGTGTCCGGGCTGTTGCCCGGGCTGATGGGCTGATCTTCGTGACTGTTCGGGCTTCATATGGGCTTGTACGGGCTGTTGTCCGGGCTGAGTCGTGACTGCTCGGGCTTTTTGTGACCTCGTCCGGACTGCTGTCCGGGCTGATCGTCGTGACTGTCCGGGCTTCCTGTGGGCTTGTCCGGGCTGTCCGGGCTGTTGCCCGGGCTGATCTTCCTGTCCGGGCTTCATATGGGCTTGTACGGGCTGTTGTCCGTGCTGGTCGTCGTGACTGTCCGGTGGGCTTGTCCGGACTGTTGTCCGGACTGGTCGTCGTGACTGTCCGGACTTCCTGTGGGCTTGTCCGGGCTGTCCGGGCTGTTGCCCGGGCTGATCTTCGATGGGCTTGTCCGGGCAGATCGTCGTGATTGTCCGGGCTTCCTGTGGGCTTGCCCGGCCTGTTGTCCGGGCTGATCGTCGTGACTGTCCGGGCTTCCTCTTCCGGGCTGTCCGGGCTGTTGCCCGGGCTGATCTTCGTGACTGTCCGGGCTTCATATGGGCTTGTAAGGCTGTTGTCCGGGCTGATCGTCGTGACTGTCCGGGCTTCCTGTGGGCTTGTCCGGACTGTTGTCCGGGCTGATCGTCGTGACTGTCCGGGCTTGTCCGGGCTGTCCGGGCCTTGGTCCAAGGAATTCAGAATGGTGGGCCTGGTTGGGGGGGGGGGCAGGGTCGATGGGAATGGGGGGGGGGGGGCAGAAATGACGGTGCAACCCTTACACCAGGACGCAGCAGCGCTTGTCATTTCTTGCTTTGCTGATTAAATAGAACGGAGGACTTCGCTTTAGAACAAGGGCTTTGTTTTGAAAACGGCGTGGTGCAGCTAGTACAAAAAGTCGCTTACTTCAGGTGCGGTGGGATTGTTGTGGCTGACATTGCTACTCGTGAACCTGTAAAAACTACTTATATATATACGCCACAACAGTCCTTTCTATATTCAAAAAGGCTCCAATTGCTGCTATATATACGACAAGGAGACCTGATATAGACGTCTTTAAGGATCCTTAATGTAAATTCCCGGCCGCGCGCGGTGGCGAATTCGCAAAGGACGGGCTGATATTTGAGTGGCTCCGGAGGTATAGACCTATAAATTGCCAGCGTTTTCCAACCTATCCTATGGAAATCCGATGCCAAGGATCCGTCGCCGGGGAAAACTTATGGAGGACCCTCGGAGGCTCGGCTGGCCTCAGTGAGTTCGGAGGCCCCTGGAAGTCGGAAACCCAGCTGAGCTAAGAGAACACAAGAATCGAAATCAGCATGAGCAGTGGCATTAAACAGTAAGCAACGAGGACCACTCGGCGGCCGCTAAAAGGGCAAGTCTCATATTTCAGATTCTTTGCAAAAAAACAACACTGGATGCTGAGAGCTTGGCGTGCAAGCTTCTAGAACGCAGGACGATCCATCAACTCTCGTAACGAAGAGCTGGGTTACGAGGGGCCGCAGAAGGCCACTCGACCCACAAGTCACCTTCTGAGAAGTCGCTCAAGCCTATGACCAGATTATCACAAGGAGCATTGAGTGAATCAACATGCGCAGTCGTCTCAACGCAATCGAAAATAATGATAGATAAAAGCATATGGTCCGGATGGCCTGCCGAACAGATTTGGCAAGAATCTTGGTTGAATTCGGGAATAACTTAGCATTACGCCTTTGTGAAGCTTTGACTCTTGTATTTAGCTCTGTGGTGAAAGAGCCTTCCTTGGTCTCGCGTTTTCCGACCCCGCTGTAAGCCTCTTTAGGAAGTCTCGCTCAAGAAGTTGCGCAGCGAAAAATTCAGCAGCAGAAGACAAAGGATTCTCTCGCGAAGAAGGCGGACTCTAGGATCGTTGGGAGGTTGTTTCGCCCTCGCGGAGTCAGCTGCCCTTGTTCGGGCATTCATATCCCGGGTGCTTTTTCAGACAAAACCAGCAGGGGTGGAATCCTTTCGCGTAGCTCTGGCCAGTCTTCCTGGCCCAACACTTGCCCCGGATAGAGAAAGCATGGTGGCTTGCCATTTGCGGTAGTGCTGTGGTCCCGTCCGGCAGCGAGGGAGTCGACGGAGTCGGATCGGTTATCGACTGCTTCGTTTTCTTTTTCTCGCCCCTTCCTCTTCGAAATATATGGCTCCCACCTGGGGATCGAAGGAACGCGAACCTCAAGCTGAGGAGCAAGCAAGATACGAGAAGGCATCATTCGGCATCACAAGCATAGATTTCCTCTGTAAGTGGAATCCACAGCCGTTTGTCGGCATCCAGGATCTGCTGAAAGGACACCGACTTCATATGCTTAGGGACTTCTCGTTCACGAACTGTGAACAGGCAGGTGTGCCAAGTCTCTGACACCTGGAAGCTTGCAAGGTTCACCAAATCTTCGCCAAATCCATAGCAAGGGATTTCCGTTGGAGAGCCATGAGTAGCTTCCACTCGCCGGCCGTCGAACACTCGATGTCGTCCCCTTTATTGGCAACACGGAGCTGCCCATCGGAATCTAGTGAGAAAGTTTTGGTCTGCTTGACCTGGAAAGTCTCCTGGGCCCCGCTCGTGCGCGACTCGGGCGGACGTAGTTCGCCGTCTGCTCCTCCACCATGGTGACAAATCGGTCAGCGAGTTGGTGAGAGGGCTCCGTCTCCGGGGACTAAGTGATCTCGTTCAATCGCTTGCGCTGTGCCTCGATCGGGTCATCCTCTCGGAGGTCGGCAATTTCTTCATGACCGATTCGGCGCCATGCTCCTGACGAAGGCGAAGATCTCGCAGAGCCAGGCCGTGAGACTCCGCGCTTGAGACAGGAGAGTTGTCCCGCCTCCGGCTCGCGAGTGAGGCATGTTGTGAGGAGATCAACCAAAGGGCTCTCATCAGCGCTTCCTGATTGGTAAGGGATACTGAAGGCGTACTGGCCGAAAGTCTTGAAGCCAGCCGCCACCACCGCATTTATGTTGGCCTGGGTCACTCCCAGCTGCAAAGCTCGGCGCTTGAACTCCACTTCGGAGTCCAACTCGGAGGTCGCCGTTGCCCTCCCCGAATAGGAAGCTCGTAAGCCACCGAGGCTCAGCGAAGTCAGTTTGCTCTGGCAGTGAAGCGATTAAACAAACATGTGGAAGTGGTGCCATACGTATAGCAGAATCGCTGAATTTTGAACGAAAGCTCCGCTATATTTGCCGAGGAACTTAGTTCCCCACCGATGGAAGTTCCCGGCGGTACCGAATGCCGGAGAACGATACGAAGTGGGGCTCCCGGTTCAGTAGCGCGGTTGCTGAGGCCCCATCCACGATAGTAAAGTAGATAAGCCGCTGCTGTTGGATCTAGCGCATGGCCCGCAGGGTTTGTAGGAACGGGGCATGCATATGCGCTTTTGGTCTTGACTGCCACTCACGGTTCAGTCCTTCCAAAAGGCGATACCGCAATATTCGAAGCCTGCAGATCCCCTTCTTGTGAGGAGATATCCGCTAAGCACGAGTAGCCATTGTTCAGGACTCGGCTACACAAAAAGCCTCTGTAGGTCAAGACTTGCATGAATGATGTCTGAAATATTGTGCACAATTGCTGGCTTGCTGTGCTTGTGCACTGGCGTAAAAGCTTCAAGCGCCACAGCTTCCTGGCTGCTCCAGCCTTGCTTCCTGGGCCGGGGCCGGCGTGGAGTGAAGCAGCTCCCTCATCGAGGCTAGGCACTGCTGCAATTCGTCCGCATTTGCCCAGCTCCCGATCTTACCGCCCAGGGTCTGGGCTTCCACCGCTAGGCGGTCGATCCGCTGAATCTTCCTTACGGTCCCCTTCTGCTGCTTCGGATGCCGGGCTTTCTTAGAAAACCCTGCTCTTCCGCGCTCGGCGTTTCTTTGTCCTAGCCCTCCTTCACCCAGTACGGCGTTCCTCTGTAAGCTCCGAGGCGAGGTCGCCTGCTCCGGCGACTGCCGTTTCAACGTCTAGTCGCCTGGCTCTTCGGCCGCAGCCGCCGGCTTCGGTGAGGACGATATTGGTGATGCGGTCGAGCTTCCCGACCCATATCCCTTTTATCTATCGCTTCTGCTCCTTCGTCCCCGGCTTCGGCAGCTTAGCCATGACCGTTTCCCCAAAACGGCAAACCGTGCTAAGGTATTCGACATCATTCACGATGTTGTACACCGTTAGCTTGTCGGCGGACCTGACCTGAAACGGCCCAGACCTTCTGCTACAAATGGATCGACAAGGTCAGTCAAAGAAGGAGTGACCAAAAATAGGTTCACATCTATAGATGTGGCCTATACTCCGCCGAGCAGGAGCAGGACCTCAGAATTTTCGTTCCGATTCCGACGCCTGAGGCGCACGCCCTCCTCGAGATCACGGAACTCTAGAGGGGATGTACCATGAAGAGCTTCGATATAGTCGCTGCGTTTCTCATTGGCAAGGATAGAGGGACCCAAGAAGCAAATTGGGTATACGTGAGACCACCCCTGGAGTGGAGGCCAATCTTCGAGGAATGGGTGCGGGAATAACCGCCTACCGAATAAAGCCACTGGTACGGAGAATCTGGCAATATGTTCTTCCGCCTCGGCGGCTATAAATGCTGGAGCGATACCGACGAGAGCGAATCAGGAATATGCATGATCCCTAATCCGTCCTTACGCTCGAAAGACTTCGACTGATCCCCTGATCTAGATCCGTCTCGGACTCAGAGGCAAATAGTCGCCCAGTGCAGCCTTCTCTTCTTCGCCTGAGATCTCGCCCATAAGTTCCAAGACCCTACGAGCTCTGCCACGATCAGGAGAGAAGGAGCCATCAAGAATCTTGTCGACGAGCTGGCTGGTCTCAACGGCAAGGGGAGCGCAGCTATCACGACTATAAACCAGCACTGAACGAGACGCTCTGTCAAAATGGTGACCTATAAACTTCTCATCACGCTCATTCTACCCACCAAGCAAGCTTATCCACGAGAGGAGCGTAGTCTTCAGAATATCTCAACCTCAGCAGCCGAAGAGCTCACCTTACACAGGAGCTCGCGAAGCCACAACGTGGCCTCGATCGACGATGCGTCAAGGAGTCGAAAGTCCCCGTCCCCTCGCAATATGTCGGAAGGGAAGGGCCCGAGGAATCAAGACCGAAATATTTCCGGAATGCTAGCCAAGCATCCGCCCACGGCTCATGATATAATCCTCATCCGAGTCAAATCAAACGAAGCAACAGCGATTTGTCCCGAGCAGCATACGAAGTCTTATGTTTTGATACAGCTGTTTCCATAAGAGAAATCCGACCAGCTCTAGATAAGACGATATCCGAAAGGTGGAGCGAATCATCCTAACGAGTATACGAATAGAGGGCGAACAAATCCTATCTTCCAATCAAGGATTCTATACCAGGGGCGGTCGTAACCACGAGCTTCTCGAGGGCCCCCATCTGATCGGAAATAAGAGTTTCAGACTGCTTGGTAAGGAAAAGAAGTTGTTGCACGAGTTTGGTAAGATGCCAAAACGACAAATGGTATTTGGAAAGCCGTTCACGATACTCGCTATCCTATCCAAAGAAAGATATAATAACTTCGTTGGCGCTGACTATAACCCTTGACTTGTATAAATAGTATAGCATCAAAGACCCCCATTCAGATGCTTTCTGATAGATAAAATCTAATTGTATGAAGCGGTTTCAGTAACGCGGTCGTATTGCATCTTCGACAGACGTAGGGCTGCTGGATTTAATAGAGCACGTTTAGAAGCTACTACGGGACTATCAGGCTTTGCTGAGCGCCCAAGACAAGTCGTGTGCCCGTGCCCCAGCTACGACCAGATCTTTGACACTCCCGTAGGATTTCGCACCCATAAAGGGCGCATGTATCCGGTCACAATATATAGATATATCCCGATAATTTTCAAGTCAGAGGCTTCGATCCGAGGCCTCCTGCAATACGCGACCTGCCTACGCTACTTTCCACAATAGAAGGTTCTAAAAGATTATCTGCTATCCGGATCGTGCCCGGAGCCGGGAAAGCTCCGGGCACTGGACCGTCCGCCGGACGTCCAGGGCGGTCGGGGACAGGACACCGCCCTATGCCCAAGATAGTATCAATTCCATGATATGATGGATACGCAGATAGCGTTGGTATTGAATTGATCGGAGCTCTCATAAGAGTTCTTATTATATTACTCCATCTTTGGCTTCTCGATTACTGATCAGTCTCACCTGAGATAGGCCCCTAAGGGGCATAATTCGGCACTGCAGCGGCTTCGGCCTTGCTCGAGATCAGGCGTGCCTCTAATTAAGGGATACGGCTGGAATTCCCGAGAGGCGTCCCACGACCTCCTTCGCAACCCTTCTAATTACCATTATGTGAACGCACTCTTATCAGCCCTAGTGCCAATAGAGATCTTCGCAAGATCAAATCGTCGATCGGTCGCACTCCTTTACGTGCTCGTCGTTAATAGTGATGCGCACCCACACAACGTCATTACTTCTTTTGCATTACGAACACTAATACTTCGTTGGCGCTATGACGGACAGTGGGAAAAATCGTCTCAATTCCTGTTTTCACTATTTGTTGGTCTCTTTGACTTCCCAGTTACAAGGTCTTGCCATACGCGCGACTGTGCTATAGGAAGAGCATCTTTATATTGTGCTACAGGTACCTAGATTCTTTGCTGGGTCGAAATTATCTTACTCCCTTATAGGGCGGGCTGCATACCACCCTCGCGTTGCCAATATGGAGCTGAGTTGCATATCGGAGATTCTCCGCAGAGAGGGCAGGACCGCTCCCTACGGTGCCGCTCCATGCAGGACGGCTGGATGACGACAGACCACGGCCGACGCTCGGCCATAGCCTCAGAGAGTGATATGTGGCAGCCCAGGCTGGGAAGCTATCTATTGCTCGTTCAACTTGAGAGTCGAATAGAGGCAGACACTGGCCTTCTCCTGCGGTTGGGAGCCACTACCAGGGCGGGGAGAATTATTTATCAGGGGCAGATTTGTTTGCCAATTAGGCATGAGGCTCAAGTCGCCTCTCCATATCAGGATCACAAACCGGGCACCGCCCATGGCAGGATCAGATCAGGAGAAGGATGCAGTCAAGCGCCCTCGCTTGGAGTCGGGCCGATCATCTACGTCCTTGGTTAGAACCTACTATAAGATCCAATCGCTCAATTTGACGGTGCTCTGACGAGAGGCTTCTTAGCATACGAAGATGAATTCCAAAATATCCGACCAGCTGGCTATTGCGCTGTTTGACGCTACGCAAGCCTGGCTCCAAGAGCATAAGCCAGGAAAGGACCACCCGGCGGGATTCATTAATTCGGCGGTCGTTGGGGTGCTCTTCGCCTATATAGTGAACTCGAAATCACTGGGACCCGTTATGAAGGAATAGTGGGACATATTTACGGTCACGGTTCATACCCTCATCTATAACCCAATCCGGCAGAAGCTTGCAACAACGAGATCGCTATTTTCTCGACCAGGGCCACCGCCAAGAAGGACCACGTGCTCCTCGAGGTGCCCCTTAAGATCCATATCAGGTTGGTCCCTTTAGGACACCCGGGTGATCAGGATTACGAATCGAGGGCGAGAACCGGGGGAAGCGTCCGCAAGATAGGTTGACGCGTAAAGCTAGAGTATTGTTGCTACTGTAGCTCTGATGGTCCCACGCATCACGGGCGCCGCCTGGGGGAGAGAGGCTGCTGGAGCGCACCTGGAGACCGTCGTCAGACTATCATATCTCCTCTTTCATGGGAGGCTTCTTTTAAGTTTTTTTGCTATTATTGCTAATTACCTTCGAACGCGGAGCGCCTTGCATGGCACTGATAAAGCCTACTGGCGAAAATTGATAAGGCGCGCTGAGTATTATTTGCACTTTCCATATCGGGCCCACTCATAGCCGTCGCTGCTTCAAGTATTCTCTCTTTCGCTCCGTGCCGTCCATGTCGTCATTAGACAATAAGTATACGGACGCGGAAATTTATCTCGAGGCGAGTCGATAAAATAAAAAGCAAATTAGGATTTCTTCGACTATTCCCGAGGTCCTCCCGCGCTGGCTTGGCATGCACTGACAGCACTTCGTTGAGCTGACGATATCTTCTATCTCCACGATCGCACCCCACCATCTCCTCCCAAGTCGAAGCGTATGCTCCAGAAGTAGATATCAAAATTTCTTCAGGTCCGCCAGGAGAATATAATGGACTAACTGGTCTACGACACCGCCAAGGCCTAAATCGTCGCACCGTGACCAATTCAGAGGGCCAATTGGCCCGGCCAAGCAGGTACTGATTCAGGAAAAAGGCCTCCATAGAATGCTTGTTGCGGCATCCGAAATGATAATTATGCCTGCCTCTTACCTATTAATATAGTCTGATTCTAACAGCTCCACTCATCCCTTCACCACTCTGTCTCACGCATGAACCCTATGGATACGAATATCGTGGGGGATGAGATCCTAGCGATGCTAAGCTCCCTCGCCGATCAAGCTCCACCCCGGCAGCTACCGGGCATCTATTTGCGCCCCAGCCTACTATGATGGCCTTGGTTGTGGCGGAACCGGGCATTCGCCTTGTGGAGGGCTTTACTTGTATATTTTTTGGTGCCAATCACGCAGTGCGGCAAGTTCGAGGACGCCAGACTGGGGGAATGGCTGAGCCAGGACTCCACCCAGATCTTGATTCCGTCTATCTCCTCGGATATCTCTGAATTATCCCAATAATAACGTAGATTCAGAATACGTGATCCGCGTGCCAAGCACAACCACTACACCGATAGGTCAGCAGGGCAGCGCGCCTCCCGAGTCTGGACATTCTCAAAAAAAGGTCTTACCCTGCACCCCGCTTTCATCCGACCCCAAGGACTACATGGCCTCTAGGCCAATGCTACGATTTATGGAGGATATCGGCATGACGCTGAACGTCTTCCAATAATACGATATCATCTATGGGGACGCTCACTTCCGTGCCTTGCCCATGGCACCACCTCCGCCCCCCTCACGAGCTCCCAACCAGCTCACCGGGCCAGCTGCCTGGAGATGAAGCTGCTCATATTCCCCCAGGATGCTACCTTGCCGCAGTTGCGCCAAAGGGCATGAATTATCCGGATCTTAATCGTCATGTCGAAATAATATAGATACTCCTCGAGACCATCCGCTCAGCAGCAGCTGCGACCGCAGATAAAAACGATTTAGCAGCTACTACCGCGACTGACCCGCTGGAAACCGCCCGTAATGAGACTCGAGATCCCTCGTTTGGATACCGCCTTGTATGGCGAACGATCATAACTTGATTCTCCAAGTCATATCGACGAAAGATAAAAATCGTCAGGCTACGGCCAGTCTTGCTGTTTTACCGACGACTGGTTGCTCAGTAAGCCACCGAAATAAAAAATCATGCTTGCAGTGCCGGCGCTTCTATCGCGTCGTATATACCTGCATAATTAGCTCGTTCATACTCGGCCCCGCCGCTATTCAACCTCTCCGATCTAGGTGCTTTTGAATCTTGATATATTGATATATATATATATATATATATATCAAAGTACGATTCCTCCTCGGAGGAGGAGAACTACAGCGGAGAAAATCACTATTCGTAGGAGCCGTCGACTAACGAATATCGAGATTGCCCGTGCTCGGTCCAATATCAAATTACCGCGACCAGGTGCTCCGCGAACTCTACTGGTGCGAGCTAGATCAATTCATCAATAGGACTGACCCTAACCACAAGTCTGTCGTCGAAACCACGGACTTTCCGGTACTGTCCGCGGGCGGCAACGATCAAACGGAAATTACAGTCTCTCCCAGAACGTCGCGAGCTCACGGATCATATAGATCCTGCTCTTCTCAATACTACTCCCTCTTACTTCTGCCCCTCCTACCGATCCTTTGCTCCACGAGAGTGATGCGTTTTCAAAGATGGTATATCACTTTTACTCAGCAGCGCGCGCTTCTGCGCCTGACACAGGGTCACCCTGGCACAAACTACCAGGCACCGCCTGTTGAGAGCAGGCACCGCTATAGCAATTTGCGAGCAGATAATTCATGGTCGATCCCCGGTCCCTATGCTCTCGCAGCCTTATGCACAGATACGTGCCACTAAATCGCAGGAATCCGAGATGCTCGATATTGATATCGATATATCGCTGCGGTGATAAGATATATTATTTGGTATACGCCTTCTGCCGGAGCACTACCTCCGCACCGCCAACGGCGACCGCACCTGACACCATGCTTCCAAGATATAATACGAGAGATATAAGCCCCGAGCGGACACTGGCACCCCAAGGATCGGAACGCCTCCCCCACTGCCTCAGAAATCTACCATTTGTGAATGTTGCGGGGAAGAAAAATTCGCGGAGTGGGTACGAGCGGCGGCAAACTTTCAGGCTCGGGGTCCTACGAGCCGAAGCGTTCGCGCAAATCTGGCGCACGAGGATATACGGATCCTTGATGATGTACCTCGAGCAAGCGCGATCCCAATAGCCAGATCATAGGCGAGGAAGAAACTATCCTCCCAAAACTCACGGGCTGGATTAGAGGTCTCTATGCAGTCCTTCAGCATGACATCCAATGGTAGTTATAGAATAGTAGAGTGCCAGACCGAGACCTTCTAATTATTCGTTATGGCCTTCCAAATCATTTACGACGTGGCGGCGATCCAGAATCCGAATCCTCTCAGATACGTGATCCAATACGCGCGAAGCGGCGATCTTGCTAGCTTCAAGTTTATATATGGGGAGACCGCCTATTCTAAATTCAAAGAAGTCATATATATATATATATATATATATATGATATGGCTGGCTCAAACCGAGCAATCCGCCGGGCGAAGGACCAGGAAGGATCGTCAATAATTATCAATGAAATTGGCAAAAAAATGATCGAGGAGAGATCGATTGGGACCGGTGGTAAGGCTCTGACTTACAAACGCCACTAGCAAGAAGGCCAATAGCGAGATTAAGCGACCGCACCGCCGAACATCCTGGCACCGCCCGCAGCCCTACGTGTACCATCGATCACTTTTCTCACCTATCTTATTTCGCTAATTGCTCGGACCCTTGATGGTTCCCTAGCCTTTCTTGCAATCCTATCAAGATCGAAAGTTCGAGCGAGAGCGATTGCGGCAACTTTTTATTCGTAGTAAGGATACCACCTACACTCGGCTATTTACCATCAAAACCAATTCACTCGATCTTTGCTTCCTATCGTCTTGACATTCATATTATTCTTGCACCTACAGTCAACTAGATCAAATTTCTTGCGAATCACGATCGCTGGAGCGCCGCACGGTGCAACTTTTCGACCCGACGCCAGTTTCTACGAATTATCGAGTATGGCATACCACTAGAATAGCGCTCTAGGACCCGACTCTTGAGTACGACCCGTTTAGTTCATGAGCGTTGGACACAACAACTCATTTTGAAGATTTCGGAAGTTGGCCGTCCGATAATAATCCAATATAGTGAAAAAGAAAATTATGCACAATGAACTAATCGTCGTCTTTTGATTATATTCTTTTCATTTAATAATCTTTTGCTATTCCTCAGATACGAATAAAATCGGAAGATTCTATTCAAATAGCCATTATTCTATATATTTATTTATTATTATGCCTGTTCTTCGTGCCTAGCTCCGATATAGTAGCGAGCATACGAAGACCGATATGAGTTCTTGTAATATATTCTATAGCCGAAATAATATTCGTATCGATATAGTCGCTATTTCGCGCAAATATCTATTATAGCATATGAGATAGGGGGAGCGACCTAAGACCTCTTTTATTCTGATTTATCAAGAATATTACGCGGTTTTAGGGCGCGACCCGATTATACAACTAATGTTGATAGAAACGAAAGATTAGCTACGCTAGCTGCGGTAGAATAGCGATATATACGATCAGTCTTCGAAAATTCGATTCACTCCAGTATTCTGGCAACAGTATCTCTAAATATTAGTTCTCGTATCTGCGCCATCGTACCAAAACGACTATCTATCGACTCGTGCAATTACAATGCGGAAGAAATGACAAAATCGCTCGCACAAAATGGGTGTGCAAGGATTTGAGTGGTGCCGCTAGATTTGATTTAGTACAGATTCTATTATGCGCGCAACAACTCGCAAAACCGGCGCTACAAGATGGGACCGGTTCTTGCCTTGGGGGCTTCAGGCTTCCCTTGCTTTAAGGCACTACTACGGCTGGATGTACGGTGAGCTCTAAGACTTCAGAGTATGCTGCAGTCGCTCGGAGCTGTTTTCGTTTGTGTCCATTAGCGAGAAGTCGCAGAAGTCAACGTGCGAGCGCTCCTTTTATCTTTGCCCCATGAGACGGCGTGGCCTCGTCGTGGCCGCGCAGCTTTGCAGCGAAGGTCAGCGAGCGCTTCGTCCAGTCCCGCTCGTCTTTGCCCCATGGGCCGTCGCGACCCAGCTGTGTAGCACCCGCCCAGAAATTCATGAAGTTTCTAGCCCACGGGACACTTTTCAAGCCCGAAGTGAAGTGCACACCCCAGGCCTTCTCATTGCAACGACGATGCTTGAAGCGGTCATTGAGTAAGCCTGATTCTTCCAACGTCCAGTTACCGACGCTTCCGCGGTGATACCACGTCACCATCCATCCCAAAAATTTGTACTGCGCACGACTTGGCGGCAGTCTCCCTTGCAAGGTTGTTGCAAGAAAGCTTTCCAAAAAGAGCGGACAATGAACTCTCAGGACTGTCCAGTCGAAGAAGCCCGGATAGACCCGATCCCGCCAGATGGCACCATCAACTTCCTCATCCCAAAAGTTGGTGACTCCCCCACCTCGAAGTTGTACGCCTCCGTGCTCCCGCGCTTCGACAACCCAGGGCTCCTCCATGACATGCCACAGCGTTGCATTTAAAGCAAACTGGTCAATGGTGGCTCCCTCCCCAACTTCGCAAAAGGTTTCAGGAGCCGACTCGAAGTTCTTCCGGACGGTGTTTGACAGGATCTTTGTGAAGTTGTGGCGCCTCATGCGGGGCAAATCTAGAACCTGGAAAGGTCCTTCTGCGTCTCGTGGATTCCCGCCAACCTGTGACACTCGCCACTGTCGCCGTTGTACCAGGAGCCGCGATACATCTTCGAGAAACACGTAATCTCCAGCGTCTACAAATACCAGCAAATCCACCTCGGGACGATTTCTGAGGAGCTCATGAACGAAAAGCCGAATCCAGCCAGAATCACCATAAAGCTTTGTTTGTCCCAGACATCCCGGCACAATGTTTGCTCGAAGGAGCTTGAAGAAATGGCGCAGAACATCCTCTCCGTACAGCTCAAACGCTGCAGCACGAGATGCCAAAATTGGCTCCCGCTGCCGCAGCTCGTCAAGGCAGTAGCGCATGGCGCGCTCACCAGGAGTGTCTACGAAGAGGTGGAAGTGCAGCCTCTTGCGTCGAGCGAAAAACAAGGCAGACCGGATTGTTGCCATGGCTTTGAAGGCGAACACCGGCTCGCCAACAGATGCAACAAGAGCAACGTGAACAACGCCCAAATCGCGTGGAGCACTCCTGAGAACGGCCAGCTGCCTGGCCCAGCTTTTTCCTGTTGCTTCTAATGAAATTCGACGCAGCTCGTCAGTTCCTGCCGCATGTGAGACTCGAAACGAAGTCAGAAAATCCCCTTTAAATGCTTGCACCACTGACGCAGTTCGGGAGTGTAGGAATGTCTGGCACAGGAGCATGGCAAAGTGCAGCCTTTCGACAGAAGTTCTGCCGCTCCTGCGATGCATGGACGGCAACCAAACATTGTGGACCCACTCATAGTCAACTATGTCCAGCTGAACGAGCTTGGCCAATAAAGCCTTTTCACACTTGTCAGGTGATCCATCCTGCCAGGTTATCAATTCACAATCCACAGCAAACAAAACCTCCACAATGACCTGGCCAAGCAAATTCCACAGCCTTGCTTCGAAGACCGGGCGAACATCGTGCTCACAGCAATACTCGCCAACAAATTCCGCATCGACACCCCAGCAGAGTTCTGGCTGCCACTTTTCTTGGCAGCATGCCTCATAGCTGAGCCCGGGCTGCCCACGAAAACAATCCTGGTTACCTTTGCCAAAGCTCAGCCACGGCCAGATGCTCACAAGTAGCGTGAGACGCACCACCGATGAGGGAAGCACTGAGAACAGCTCTGGACTTGGCAAAATCAGCCTGGAATTGGACATCGGCTTCAGCAGGCATCCCTCTCATGGAGATTGCATGTGCAAACCCGGTTCCACATCAGTTCCAGAGTTGCTCTGCTGCTTCGTGCATTCTTGCTTAGGATATAGTCCGTTTGGCATGCGATTTAAACGAAAGCCTGCACCAACAACGTTGGCTGCCGACGCCTAAAAACTGTTTGTGGTTCATGAATGAAATCCAATCCACGTGAACCCGGCTGCAAAACCTCGAGCCGCACCACCCATGGCCATGATGCGAAAACAAGATTGCACCACTGTGAACACTAAATTCACTAAATGTTCACCAATGCTGCATCCACGAAATCGCCTGCAAAGCGACTTCTGCGCAATCGGTGAACACATTGGTGACTGGTTCATGACCTCGACTGTTGTTAGATTCATCCATGCATGCACCCTGAGATCTGCAACATCATGTTTGGAAGAGCAGTAGTTCACGCCACCAAATCGAAGTATATGGACACACTGCGCACTGCTCCCGTTTTTTCTTTGAGTGCCCTGTGGAAATCTGGGGCATTCTAGGGCGAAGCATCAAAGCAATTGCCAGGCTTCAAATGTTGACCCTTCCGCCGAACAATTTGATAAGCTTGTAAATGGCATAAGTGGGAATGAACAAGCCATTGGGCAAGAACGAATTACAACCTGCTGTGTTGGGTCGAACCATGGGGGACGTACAAATTGCAGAATCTTGCTATGGTTTCCACACGCGAAAACAAACCGTGTGGCTTTGGGCTGTTGTGGTGAAACGGGCGAGCCCGGGACCTGCTGCACCGTATACACTACACAGACGGTGCTGCAGCCTCGCTTTGGGGGGTCTACCCACAGCAACACTGTCTTCCAGCTGGACGTCCTGAACCTGAACCGCATCCGGACGCAGGGCGAGAAAGAAAAGATCGTCCACGAGAAAACCGTGGAAAAGCTTGAACAGAAATGGGCCCGGGGCCCGGTTCCTTGCTTTGGTCACCCGCAGGTTCAGTCTGAAGCAACGTGAAAAAACCAGGTTGGAGGATGACGGCCGGAGCTGTAAAAGAGTCAATGACAATTTACGAATGAGCGATTGCTGGCACTGTGCTGTGTTCAATGGAAATGATGCCAGCTTAACATTTTGTAGGCGGAGCCTACGGTTTTTAAGGCAGCGTACCGGTAACTTCCCATCCATCCTGAATTGTTTCAAGACTTCTTTGTGAGCCACTGAAGTTTTTCAGCTGCACATGTCGAAGTGAATCAATCGCTCACGCACCCGTTTGGCGCGGCACGACCTGTGTATGGTTTCTTGCGCAGACCGTGTGGTGGTTAGGGTGCACGACGGAGCGTGATATTTGATGACTTCGTCGCCGTTCTCACGGCAAGGATGCGCGGCATACGTAGTCGGCAGCATCTGGTTCTGGGTGAAGACTGGTGCAACACGGAGTCAGGTTGGCTTGTGCAATCTGGCTCTGAGGTCGCGAAGGCTTGGGCTCGTAGGCCTTAAGTATAGAGGCCGGCCGAACGGGGCGATAGGCTGACCGGGAAGGCTCTGTGGCAGGGCCTTCGCTGAAAGGCTCGCTGTGCGTGGTTGACACAGGCGTGAACCACGTAGGCTGGAGCGTACCTAGGTGTGGGCGGGGCTTTTCGAGAACTAATGTGCTGGATCCGGACTGTTCTCTATGTTTACTACATGTACGCGCAAGCAGACAAAAGTGAGAACGGCATTCACTCCTTTTCCGGCTGAGGTTGCAGTGTCAATGCGTTGCGTAGGGAGCAGTCGCTTTTTGACTTTGAACCGCAGTGGTCTGGTCTGACCTACTAGCGAGCTAATACACGGTGTGTTACCGCGGCCATTCAGGGTAGCAACTGTACACTAAGACTATGCAAAACTGAGGTCCTTGCCCGTAGGAGCCGAAGCTCACTAGACTACAGGCGGCACAGCTCAAGCGCGCTAGTCGCTGCAGAGGCAGCTGCAGCAGTAGGGCCGGTAGACGGCTCCCCAAAGTTGAGAAAAAGGTGTCCGAGTTACGGCTCACCGGAGGCTGAATCAATGGCGGTACCGAACTGAGCGCAGAAGTGAAATGCATCGATGTTTTTTGTGGGCTTTTTCCTGTTTTCCGCGATGCAATCCCCTTGAGCACACTGCGGGGGGTGCCAAACGAGGGCTCAACCACTGGCACGAAAGTGAAGTGCAAAGGCCGCAAGCAACTCAGGCGACACCCTGATTTGTGCACCTTTTTGCACCCCTGCAAAGCCCCTCAAGTGGGATGGCCGGATGTCGGCTCACCGAACGAGGCCAATCCTACTCCCCTGCAGTCAGCGTGCTTCTTACAGTCGACGTTACAAACTGTGCAACATTGTCTGGCAGAGCGTGTTAGGTATCCGCGATGGAGATCGCCAGCGCGGCCGCCCAGATGGTGTCAGTCTTCGAGCGGTTGATGCCGGGAATGGCGGGGATGGCATCCCAGCGAAGGAAACGAGCAACAAGACCGGTCGGAAGCAGACGGACAACCCGGAAAACCCGGCGAAGCAACAAAGGCCCTCAAAAAGGGGGAGCCGAAGGGGAAAGAGGCCATCAAAACATAGGTCAGGAGCACGTGACTCAGCTGATCTCCATGGTGGCGGCGATGTCGCACCAGCAAGAGGATGCCCTGAACCGAATCCCAATTGACACCTCCTTCACGTTCCATCTCCGACAGGGGGGACCGGGAGCAGTCCTCCGCGGGCTGATTCAAGCCGGGCAAAAGTGGCATCAGATGGCGGACAAAGGGGAACAGCTAGGCCCTCTCAGGCTGGTGGTCTTCGGACTCCTCTTGAAGGAGACGGATGCCCGGCTGAAGCTGCTGCTGGCAAGCGAGGAGTCTCAAAAGAACGCGGCAGCCTGTCACTGGATCGACGAGACCGGAAAGTTTGTGTTCCAAAAGTGGAATCCGGTGGCAAAAAAGCTCGAAGTGGACACGACCAAGCAGGGGCTTCTGCCGGATCAAGTCAGCGCAGGCCTCAACCGGATCGCCGAGCTCGCGACCCCCCAGACGATCACGAAGCGGGAAGCGGAGACAGAAGAGGGGGACACGGCAGTCTTCACGGTGGAGATTGCATTGAGAAGCACGGAGGCCAACGAAATTCATCAAAGGATGCTGCTCCTCCAGGACAACGCAGCGTGGCAACTTGTTGGGGCGCAACTTCGACCACCGACCCTGAAGCGCCACGGTATTGCGGCGGCCCTCCAGAAGACCGGAAGAAGCAAGAAAGTAGCCGGCCCCAAGAGGGAGCCGAAGAGACATGGAGGGTCCAAGGCCCTTCCGGCTCATCTTGCTAAACTTAGCCGCACGCGACTCGCCAACGTTGGCAATAGCTGCTATGTTAATGCAATTGTCTTCGCATTGCTGCGGCAGGTATCTCAAAGGGTAGACGTGGTCGTCCCCGAAGCGTGGCGAAAAGCCATCCAGCAGGCTGCCTGGACCCCGGCTCAGTTTCTCAAACTGCATATGACGGCTAGACCTAGACCTAGACAACAACATGATGCAAGTGAGTTCATGCAGTTCATCCTGCCTAAACTAGCGTGGGCCAACACTGTGTTCCGGCGGGAGGCCCGACAAGACATTTCGGGGGACCCACATCGGACCGAAATAGATCGCATTGATGGGGATCAACATACGCGGTTGCTCACCCTGGATGCCCCGGATGGCCTATGCTCATCACAACTTCAGGATGCAATTAATGCCTGGAATACTAAGGACTCCATCCACGCCCTAACTACAAAACCTGATCACCTCTTCCTTGCACTGCCAAGATACAGGCAACTTGAGGATAGCATAGTCAAGAACCGAATCCAACTCCAGCTTGAGGATCAGCAGGTCTTGACCCCAGTCTTCGCGGAGGCTGCCTTGCAAGTGGAGTGGGAACCATATCGGATCACGACTGCTGTGGTACACCTGGGTGAATCCCCCACGACGGGACACTACAGGACTGCGGCTTTTGTTGAGGGTACGACGGAGGTCTGGTACTCGGATGACAATCGTCCTGCAGAGTACTACCCAACGATTCCTGCAGAAGTGTCTGCCAACTGCTATGTGCTTGGCATGCTACGGCGGAAACCACTGACATGTGCCATCTCTTTCTAGCAGGTGTTTGACTTGCCGACATTCTGGCTCAAGCCCCCTTTCGGAGGGACAAAAAGAGTCTTGTGTCTCACAGGACCGACAGTTCGAATCTGATACCTGCCGTGCGCGGTACTTTCTACCCCACTGTGTGAAAATAGCGTTGAGCTCTGAACGTCTTGCATGTGACATGTGCGAGTGCAAGCATTCATCCCTGAAGGTTCAAACATGACAGACAACTCAATACAAAGCACGGTCTGAGAACAATAAGCGTATCAAACTAGCTGGTCATATTCTAAGAACCAGTGAGGAGGACCCCTTAAGGCAAGTTAGCTATAAGCCCAACTCCACGAACATGTTCGAGATTGGCAAAAGGAGGGTCGGAGGACCGAGACAGAATTGGTTAGTGTACACTAACAAATATATTTGGGAAAATAAGGTTTCCAATCCTCCGACTCAATATGTTTCTTCAGGTGAGCAAAACCAACGAATTTGCGAAGACGCCAGCCCAGAAAAAAAAGGAGCACAAACCGGTCTGGAGCCAGTGTGAGGCCCGCACTAGTAGCCACTCTCAAGCCGTGCACGGCTCACAGACTGAACCTTAGTGAACGGCCTGCAAATCGAAGACAAGCAAAGCCGAACTAACTGCAGAAGTAGCAGGGCCAAGACCCGAACCAGGTCTTGGATGCACCAGGCATACCTGAGTGACCTCAAACGGAGATCAAACCGTCCTGAGGTAGCAGAAGCCGGGGGGCAGGCTCAAGAGCAGGCTTAGGGCAGGGTGCAGCCTGCACAGGCGGGCAGGCACACTAGCGGCACGACATAGCGGGATGACCCCCCGCTACAGAAAAAGAAGTTGCAGAAGCAGCTGCGTGTGTGTGCTTGTGAGGCTTGAAAGGCATGCTCAAAAAGGGTTGTAGC